AATAAATTGAAGCATAAAAAAGAAACGCTTTGTGCGAAAATTCATTTATGTGTAATGGTATTTATTTATAGGTTCCTGTTTAAACAAACGTCATATCAGTCATTATATATATATATATATAGTCAATGTGCATAAAAGTATGCTAACCTAGATGTTAGGGCGCTGTATGCGCACTCAGATATTGTGAAATGAATTTTATTAAATAACAATTTTAAGATAATACATGTATGAAGAGAGTGAGAGAGAGAGAATGCTATAAAAAATTTATAAAAAAGTTTAAACCGTAAAATTATGTTGGAAGAGTACTGGAATAAGAGGTTTCAACTAAACAGCTTTGAAAATTAATTTGCGAAAATGATGACATTAAACTGCTAATAATAGACAAAGTAGAGGGAGAAGATTGAAGTTATCCTCTAAAAGTTTAAAATTCGCTAAAAGAGCTTGCTAATACTTTTAATGCAACGAGATTTGCAAAGGCGAAAGTTCGCAGAAAAACGGACGCGCCAAGCACTGAAATAGAACGTTCTTAATTATTCGGTTCGAGGCGCAACGCGTTTCGTATTAAACTTTCAAAATTCGACGTCTTTTCCAAATAGCGGCGCGCGTTGAAATACACAACCGATTGACAAAGAGAAACGCAAACCGATTGACGGAAGATAAAAAAGAACGCATTATGTATTCGACGCGCGTGTAAAAATCCGCTTAATCGGTACTTGCATACTTCAAACATATTCCACGACCATTTGCATCTCATACCGAACGTTATATCACTTTCATTAACGAAGTAGAATAGTAGATTTCCGCGCTCACACACGTGTCGTCGACGCACAAATGCGCAACGAAAAAGTTCGACGATGCGCGATTGCGAAGTTTTCTATCTGCTTGGGTCGACGATTCGCAAAATTGACGAAAATAAAAATTGCAAATTGAAGTCAAAAAAAAAAAATAACAAAAGCTTTTTCTACAAATAAAAATAATTTTGTTTCTCAGAGAAATGAAAAAAAAAAGATTTTTTTCTGAATAGAAAGATAAAGTTATTAAATATAAGCGAGATACGTGAATATCATGCGGTTGTTATGTCGTTAATTTTTGTAATTAAATGTTCTCTTTACCGATAAACAGAATCCACAGAATCAAATGAATTTTTATTAGTTCATTGGTATCAACAGAAAGCAAATAATTGTTCTGTTATTGCGATAAGATATAAGACAGGATTTTTCCGAACATTTGTTAATTGATCAATCTCTCAAACAAATTTGAATTGTCATATTTATTTCTAGATCATGAATGTTATACGAATCTCTTTAATACGAATAACAGACATCGTTTTATTACATGTTATCGCTTCTAATTTTGTTAAGAAAGATTGAACAAGTTGGAAAAATCTGATCAGAGAATTTTCGGTTTACAAACCTCAACTTATCGAAACTGTTTTTCTTCTTTCAAGAAAAATTTCGAAATGTGTTGAGCATTTCGCAAACTTCGAGTCGCGATAAAACTTTCCTTAAGTCAATTTTTGTCAATCGCGTCTCTGTGCTCGAGGCTTCTGCGATAACAGGAGGTTTCGCGATCGCCGCTATACATAAAAGAATCTTAAACACGTTGGCAGGATTTGACGATGTGACGAGAGTGGTGTATCGGCACTCGCGACAAGTAATCGAATGAGAATCACGGTGGCCGATAGAAACATTATTGACGCCGTCAGCGTCGACAGGAATTAGGTTTAAAGCATTTGCAGAGGTGCACTTTAGACAGGAGGGACGGGATCGCGAGGATCCTCGACATCCTAGGGGAGGGGGGATCTACCGAGCGTCCCTCTCCTTGGGGGATCGAACGACGGATAATATTTGAGTTTTCGAAGGCCATCAAGCGCGAACGAGGGGGAGACAAGACCGAAGGTCGGAGGGTTAAGTAAGTGGTTAAGAGGATGACGCTGCTGCCGAGGGTAATGGAATAAAAACACACACACACACTACCGTCACCGCCTTCGAGCGCGGGGGTAAGGAAACGAAAGGATGAACGTCTTGTCGCCTCTTTTTCCTCGGACCCGGCAAAAGGAACAGAACGTCCTTCGAGAGTTTCGTTGAAAAACACTTGTCCGTGTCTTCGAAAAACACACCGCGAAAATATTTCGCGATTGAAGTATAGTAGGAATATTTCTTATACACATTTATAACGAGACCACGTGTATGATTTCTTTGTATTATACAACATTATCAAAATAATGTTGTAGCGTCAAGTACACCTTTCTTTCGAAGTCCGAAAGAGAGAATTAAACACTGCTACGGCGAGAATGTTTTAGTATACACTATCGAAACATCTTCCGTAGAGTGCGCGTGTGTGTGTGTTTCTATATTTTTCTATATTTCTATATCAAAGTATTTTCTATACTGCAGATATATCAAGTATAGCAAAATAAACTTTGATATTATTAATAATAATATTGAACACACACACACACACACACACGTCATTTTTACATTCTGATGAGAAATTATTTCTCTCGCAGCTTAATGACAATCGTCTTACTAAGATATCACTTATATCACATTTTTTATATTCTAAGACGCGAATATGAAGTTCAATCTCGCCGTGAACTATCAGATCAGATCAGGTCGGAGAACTAATACCGCATGAGCTTGAATTGAATTACGCGTTTAAATGAAGAAAATTTAATTTATGAAATTCTCTCGTATTAAGGGGTGTCCATCGAAATTTGTTCAATCGACAAAGTCAATTACGATCGCGTTTCAGCGTAAATTGGAGGCGAGGCGCCAGCCGGAGAATTTTCGTTAATGGTGCGGATGGTACACATGTGAAGAGCGTTATGTGCGCGTATCTACAGCCTCTTTTTGCGCACTTAGCGCTTTACACGCGGTGTATGTATGTGTGTCTGCGATTGCAATTAGTTCGCGGGATTTCGCATCCTCAATGAATTCATTACTATAATGCTGCTAATGACGTCTACCTCTTGTGTGTTTGCGATAATACAAAATAATAACAGCTGAAAATCTATAGAATGGCCCGACCGAAAACCGAAATACATACGTCTTAGATTTTCGGAGAAATTCATTTATACTCTTTTAAGCATATCTTCTAATTTTGTTATAAAGATATCACATACACATACAATTGTGCGTGCAAAAACAATTCAAGTGTTACATTAAAATTTATAATATCTACGTTTGCTAGTTACGATCAGACCTGCGGAGCACAAAATTATGAAACGCAAAAAGTTTTAATATCACAGCAAAGGGAGAAGGGGAACTAAATTACATACATACGCACACACATACACACAGAACGCGCTTAACTCTTTTCATTTATTTTAAGATATCTCTTTTAGACCCATAAAAACATATTTAGCGACATGAAAAACTCTCTACGAGTTAATAAAAATGTGTTCACAGGTGTTCCTTGCATGTGTAATTCTCATCCCGTGTAAATATACTTCTTACACAAGATTGAAACAGTCTTGCATATTTTGGAGTTTTATAAAATTAATGTAAATACGCGAGAAAAATACCAGAAAAATCAATGGTAAAACGACACGTTTCAGTATGTTCAGCTTTGATACGTTTCCGCGCCAAGAACCTTTTTCATCGCTGCAAACGGATTTCGCCGGCACGCGGAAATACTCGTAAAACATTGAAGACCGGAACAATTTATTTTTATGGAAATACTCGCGTGCATAAAAGATTTTTGTACACGTGTCCAGCGGAAAGTACATTCATTTGCGAGCGTAGGGGTTTCACGCGTCGCGTATCATGTAGAAATTAATTGGGTGTGGCTGTAAATATTCGCCTGGTGTGAAAGTTTTATCTGTCCGCCACGTTTTCGCAATCACATCGCTCATCCTATGAATTTCGCATAAATTCAATTTCGTATTGCATTATCTTGTTATGCGAATATACGATTCGACCGCGCGCGAAGCGGAACTTTATTTCAATATTAAATGTCTTTCCGATGTCCCCTGCGCCTTTAATTATTAAATTTATGCGAGAAACTGCAATAGCGAAGACAAAAGGAAGGCGCGAGCGGAGAATAACAAGAGAGAGGCGCCATTAAAAATGCTGAATAAACATGAAGGCGCGAAGAAATTCTTTGCTCCGACAATATAACCGTCGCATACACGCATTAGTGCAAATGACGCGCAATTTGCAAACAGTGTCATTCTCTCGAGATTATTGCAGTTTTAAATAAAATTTTACTATAAATTTATCCGTTTTATATTAGGCTATTATATTATATTTTATACACATTCTGTCATTATTTTTGTTTTTGATGTGATGACTAATTGGCGAGGTTGTTCAACTAGGGAAATGTATTATTATAATAATCTCATATTACAGATAATAGAAAATATAAAAAAAAATTATACAAATAAACTTAAGAGAATTACTGAATTCAAAATGTGTTACATGTACTATCAGTTTTTAAGTCTGATTAGTAGTTGCATGTGTATTGTTTCCAGAGAAAAGAAAACAGGTGTGTGTGTGTGTGTGTGTACATATGTATGTAAATCTATATATATATATTTATGTATATATATACATTTATACATGTAAATATGTATACATATTTGTTAAGTTTCATACTTAATACTTATTTCTGAAACATGTATATAAAAAATATAGATTAACTATTTTCAAAAAATAGAAAAAGAAATCGTAAAATATTGAAGTGCTGAAATACGAAGTAAGAAAGCGCCAATACGTTCATGGTGTAAACCACTCTTATGTGTTATCACTCACTAGGTCCAAGTTGTTCACCGACTCGACGACGACGAATCTTCTTTGTGGTCGACTTAAGACGACGCCGTCGGCGTCCAGCGGGAATCAAACCCTTGGTACCCTTTCCTAGGTGGGGATTCGGCGTTCCACGTGGAGGCGGAGCGACGTTGCGCGTCGGAATACCGAACCGACACGGGGGCGTCCAACCCCCGAGATACTTGGTGGGGAGTTGTGGCAAACGCAGTTCCCGACGGGTCACCGAGACGGTGTAACGCGTTCCGTCGACTCCTTCGGTGCTCGAGAGTCCTTCACCACGTGGCTGCTGCGAGAAATCGCGTTCAATCGAAAACACTTTGATTGGTTTTTTGTTCAATAACCGGAGCGGTTCAAAGGGATATCTTGATCAATTTTCCTTGATAAACAACTCCTCGTTTGCAATTTCGAAATTCTCCGAGTTTTACACGTGAACACGTAAAGATAAATCGCGCGTAACTATGACAAGACGGGGTGAAGAGACAGTCGAGTCCTCGAGATCGCTTGCGAAAGTCTGAAGTGCACCTCGGGGAGAATTGATAATTGTCATTTTGCGCGGTTGCATCTTGGTGGGACACGTGATTTCCGCGGGGTGATGCACCCCCGAGATCGTCGTGAATGGTGCTGAAAGGTGATGAACGTGTTTTCCGAGACCATTAAGAACGATTCGTGATGTTTTGCTGTTACGAGAGATTTTAGGTGTACGGATTATTGGAGATAGACTAGATCTTGATATATAGAAGGTAAGCGTTTTATTACAAACATATTGATTACGTTAATCTGCGAGCTCGATTCTTTAAAAACAATTGATAAAATTATCGTAAATAATAAAGATATTGCTCTCTAATGAAATAGCAAAAATTGTCAGAGTTAAAATATGCTCTCAAACATAAGAGAGGTTTATGTTAATATTCAGAATCAAGAAAAACATTATTTAATTATATAATACACATATAAATTATTATTTACATATTATTTTAACCGAAGTTTGTAAGCAAATAATTTTTGTGTATACATTGTGTGTGTGTGTGTGTGTGTCAGAAGAGCAAAATTTTCTCTCTAATATATCTTCTTGTAAACAACCATGTGAACTCGACATATCTATTCAGAAATGCAGCACACATTAACTGAAATTAATTCTTTACAATATTTGCAACGATGCGACAAAGTAGATCGACGTGTCTCAAAGCGCGATCCGCGAACAATTATCCGCCACGCTTTTCGAAACGGAGGCTGCAGCAAGCTCCTTTCTTTTTTCTCCCGTAGCGCTTTTATGCTCGTGATATTTCTGGCCCGCGGCAAGAGATCGTAAAATGTGACTGTTCGCGGATATACCTACCATCTCCGACGCTTCGTTCCTTCTCTTGAAAAAGGCGGAAATAGCGGTGGTTTTGCGTAATATCGTTTATCCTTGCTTTCCGTTTTCGTCTTTCTGCTTATGAGAGGTGTGTGTGTGTGTATGTGTGTGTATGTATGCATGTATGTATGTATGTATATGTGTATGTGTGGTCTCGTAGCTACCTCTGTTAAAATTATCAGAAGCAAATAGGTTTTATGATTCGACGCGTTAATTAGATTGCGCTTTCTCTTTAAATCAAGTTTTATTTGACAACTTTAAATATGTACTTCAATAAAAATTTAATTTTAATTTTTCTCACAATTTTCAGTCACAATATGTGAGATCTAACATAAATTCGAACTTATGTAAAAAAAAAATTTAATTTAACACTTTTATATTACGGTTTGATTAGAAAAATATAAAAAAAAAGATGTAATTATTTTACTAACACAATTATTTTACTAACACAATCCTGTCACACACAAAAGAGAGAGAGAGAGAAAGAGAGAGAGAGAGAGAGAAAGAGAGAGAGAGAGAGAGAGAGAGATTTACGATTTCCAATAATTATGGAGCAACCTGTAAAGCCATTTATCATTTAATTATTAATTCGTCGCTTTTCACGTGGGAAAAACGCTTTCTTTTTTATTGATTCCATCAGTCGACAACGAGCAAACTACCAGTGTATCGGCGTTGAATTTTTAATGGTAAACGCTTGTTTTTCTAGTTCGCTTTCTTTCAAGCGAGTAGCAATACGTCACTTGAAAAGATACGATTTTTTTTGTTTTTGTTACAATCTCTCATTTTTTTGATGTGCAATTTACATACGTCCATCAATGCAAATTTTATATCAAGCTCTTGCTTTGTAATCATTGCGGCTATGATGTTATATATCTACTACTAACTGTGCTTGCTAGGTGTATTATAATGAACGTTCAATGTCTATCACACTCCACTTTGATGTATGAATATTTTAAAAGTAAAAACAAACATGACTTAAGATTGAAGCTTCGAAGATAAATAAGATAAATAATAAAAGAATAAAAATAAGAATCGCAATGATAAGTAGAATATTTTATAACGTTGTTTCACAACACGTTTCTAAAGGACGCGCAAATAACAATAAAATTATATAAGTTATCTCGAAACTCGCGCGCTACTTTCAACGAAGTTTATCGTTATCGCGCTAAAGAAGGTGCGAGGAAATTATCACCCCAAGTTGAAATTCGATTTCGCGCGTCACGAGCAATAAGTCGTCGCGGTTTTCGCCGTGTAATCCGAGTTATGAGGAACACTAATCAGCATCAAGTCCGACATGCCGCGAAGAAACGCGATTAAAGAGTTCAAAATTCGTCCAACCGCGTAAATCTGTCTAGTGTTTCAAAGCGGAACAAAATTAGCATTGATTAACTTAAACTACTTAAGAGAAAGCGCGCGCCACGCGGTCCTTATATGGCGAAAACTTGGTAGTTAGATTAACTCATGCAACAAAGTAAGTTACAGTACATGACGCATTCATTTTCCTGCAAGCTTTTTTTTTTCTCTTATCTTTTTCTCTCATCTTCGCGGTTTAAACGCGACTCGCCAGCTAGTCACGCTGCCGTCGCTCGCGTCAGCCGCATTTTATAAGATTCATGCGGAAATGATATTACATGAGAGAGACAAAGAGAGAGAGAGAGAGAGAGTATATGTGTGTATTATACAGAACTAAAGGGGAACTGCGCTTGTCAAGCATTTAATAACCAAGGCGATTTGCGCGCGTTTATTGGTTATAATCGTATTAGATAGATGTTTATATACATTTATCGATAGAGTTTATATCTTGTCGCGTGTTAATGTCTCTCAGATTTTATCTCACTCCGAAAGTTTGCAAAACGAAATATCAATAGTTTTGATTGATATCACCGTTTCTGCAAATTGAAACTCAATCAACCTTTGGTTTCTCATACCGTAACGTAGAAAAGGTCATGGCGCGGAGGAATCTATTTTATGACTCTGACATTTTTACGAGTGTAGGATTTCTCAGGCAATCAAAACATACGGTAAATAAATATACACGGTAGTTGCTATTTTTGGTTTAGGGCTAGCAATGTGCTCAGCTGCGGGGTTGCATTGTCGGCTCAATCTTTGTACCGTAAATATAGATTAGTTTAACCGGGACGTGGATCGATCGCTCGTAGCTGAGCTAATAGCTTTTCAGTCGGAGGGAAGGTCTACTAGTCTCTGCTAGAGTCCGCTTAATTAACCACGCCAGCTATTTTCTCTTCTATCTGTTCGTTTCTTCCGAGAGAGCGCGATATAGTCGAGAAACGCGACACAACTAGATCGAAACGATTGGAAACAGCGATACTTTTCTATCTCTTTCGGTGAAGAAAAGACTCTGAGATACATTTGTAATATATCCTGTCTTAAAGTTTTACGAGATTCTATGTAGTCTATAAAAAAATAAAAAAAATAAATAAATAAACAGGTAAGAGAAAATTGAGAGAAATTAAACAAACATAAAACGAATAGATAAAAAGATAACTAACGCATATTTAATAGTTCGATAATCAATGAAACATTTCTAATTTTAATAAAAGATAGATAGTTGAATTTGAAAGATTTTATACATATATATATATATCAAACTGCGGAGGCGATAATTTCAATCAGTAACGTTGAAATCGAACACTCCACAGGTTATATTAGGATTTCACGAAACGTATTCAAATACAAAATATCGGATTTCCCATTCAATCACTTCGTTCATTTTACGGATTTGTTTCGATCAATTTTCGCGTAGCTTTATTCTACGAATTTATTAGCAATTATCGCAATATTTATTTTCCAATGCGCATATGGGAGAAGCGATTTTAATTTGTGTGTCCTTGTTTACAAGTCTATATTTCATTAACGGCATGTGATTAATTAATTTTCTCGCATAAAATATAAACTTAATCGTGTTATGTTTCTCAGAATTTTATTAAAACAAGAAAAAGAAAGAGAGAGAGAGAGAGAGAGAAAGAAAATAATGAATATAAAATATAAGAATTTCAAAAGCAAAGCGCACAGATAAAACCTGCACAGATTTAGCATTCACGGATTTCCGTAGAAATTTGAGGATTGAACAATTTACGACGCACCCTGTATACGCTATCCTGAAATGATGGATTTGTGACTCCCTGTATTATTCGAGCTCGCTTCGCTCTCGAGAATCGCTTAACTTTCCGCTCATGTGGGTCATGTAAGTACCGAATAGGGTAGAGGGTATCGATATATAGCGTAGGCACGTATATGTACGTACATGTGTGTAGATACGCGCGAGTGATATATGTACGCTTACGTTTAAGGGCGCCGTTCTAGAAAGAAGAGAGAACCGGAATGCGACGATCGGAGTTGAGAAAAAGAAAGGACGTGAGAGAGAGGAGAAGGAAAGGAGCAGCCCCGAGAGCGAATCGTTTTAAACTACCATCCACTTCACATTCCCGATTTCAGTTAGGGGCATGTTTATTTCCTTTTTGGGCTTCGAGGACTTCCGTGCATTATACGCTCGTGCGCCACCAGAATGCAGCGCAACGAGCGTGGAGTTTAAGGGTAGAAAATGGGAGACAGAAGAGGGGAGAGGAAGAGAGAAAAGGGAATCTGGCGAGAGTGGACTATCGTTGAACTATCGGTGAGCGTCTCGCTGCTTTTCTCTTATTTGCTTCTTTCACGTCCATTAAGGATCTTGACAAGCGATTCGCATTTTTCCCCTCTCATTGTGATTTATGTGATTTCCCGAAACGTCAAGAAGTCGTCTCCGTCGAAAAGCCGATTTATTTCGGTTTCTTTTTTTCCCCGCATTTCCAAATACGAATATTCGCAACATCAGTTTTTTTTTTTTTTTATTGTAGCGTCTGTACTCGTTTTTTATTTTTGTTTTTTTTTTCCACCGCTTTTTGGAGAAAATTGAGTGTTGACGTTATTTATTATGCAGCAAGAAAATAAACTCCGTACTTCGTTAAGTACTTGAACTCCGAATGATAAAAACTAAACCGATAAAGAATGCATTTTTTTTCCAGTAATTACACGGTTGACTTTCGCGCAATTAACGTTTTAATTCCTCTCTCTTTCACACTCTTTCTCCCTCTTTCTCTCTCTCTCTCTCTCTCTCTCTCTTTTTCTCTCCCTGAACAATGGACGACATGTTTTGCATCACGGAAACAGTTTAATAAACGGGGCATTGTTTAGCTCGCAGTAACGAGCTGCTGAAAAATTTCGATTATTTCACGCTGGGGCGTTGTCGGTGGCGTTCGTGACAAAAACCGCAATTATCGATATAACGCGCTGCCGTGTCGCATCGTGTTGCATGTAAAAATTGAACGCATCAGCCATTGAAGGCGAAGGACGTTAAAGTGATTTATGCTCACTTCTCGGTTCATATTG